TTGAATTTCCTTTTTAGTGTTACTTTTTTCTAATCAAATTTTTGTTTTCATATTTTAAAAATATCCGTTTTGAAGTGGAGTAGCACCATCTTGACTTGGCAAAGGTGTAGTGCCAATGAAAGCGGTGGAATTTTAATAGAGCCATAAACATTGCCAGAGTAATGCGCGCTTCTTGCTCGATGTTTTCGTCGGACAGCTTGTTGCTCTGACAGCCCACGAACAACGCTGGGATTGCCGGCTGAGTAGAACTGGCGTCGCAACCCTTCACACATTTGGCGCGCAGGCCGATTGAGCGACGTGCTCAATCGCAAGAAGGTCGGCGTGAGCGTTCATCTGGTCCTCAACGTTGATGTCGACGTTGGCAACGGCTTTGATGCAGCATGCGTGCAGCTTTACTACAGCATACGCCATTGATGCAATAGTAAACCCCAGCTTTCCTCTGCCTCCCTTGGCAAAACTTAGAGCACCTATACACAATTTTCCTTGAGGACGACCATGCCTTGCAGTACTTGTAGCCCTTGTAAAAGCATGTCGTCCGCTCATCACGTCGTGGCACAGGCCCCACATCATTTGCGATTGCTGTTCGAGCAAGCTCGAACAGCAACTGACCAACCAGCAGGTGCACGAGCAGCTCCGTGGTTGAAGAAGTGCTTGAACTCACCATTAATTTTTGGATCCCATGTCAGATATCCAGTAAGATAAACATCTGATCTAGAATCTGATTAGCTCCGTATACGTACCTTTTCGGAGCTAAACGCACGTGAATGGTCTTCTTTGTCGAAAAATCTCCAAATTAGTCGCCAACCTGGCCTGCAGGGTCCATTTCTTCGTTCATCAACATCGCCACTCGATCAGAAACGCAATTACCCCCACTTCGCATCGAACTCACGCCAGGAACCTTCGATGAGGGCCATTTTCCTCCTTTCGACTTCGCTAGTAAATGGTTGTAGCTGATAGAATCAGCCTGAGTACTTGCTCTTGTTCGCGATGACTTCCTTCAAGACCCCCACCAGCTTACTCGGCTCAATCTTGACGGGGATCAGGCTCCCATCTTCGACAAGGCAACAAAACAACAACAATCATGGTCAAAAAGGCAAAAAAATAAACATTCAATACAAAATGAATATGCAAATATAATACATGACATATTCTTTCTACTTATTGGTATTATCGCGAGAAATCCAATTCTAAATATCACCACCGAGGGGATTGTAAGTCAGCATTTTATTTCTATATAGGGGTATTCTAGTTGTGGCAAGGTGTACATTTATTAATACGTTGGCGTTCGGAACTCCATGCCACATTCAATATTTGTAAGGTGCTGGTCTACTCGATTACAATGCGTGTGGATACAGTGGCCAGAGGAGGAAGACTCCGTAATTGACGAGTCAGTTACAATGCTGTCGCGTCCGATCCTTGGTCGGTGACGGAACTGCTGAATCCACCAGATGAGAGCGTGTACGACGACTTCCTGATGAAGAGTTCTACGGAATCAAAGTGGACGTTTTCGAGAGTGATAAGTCGATGGGTGCCTGTGAGGATAGTGGAGGCGAAGCAGGGAATGATGATGTAAGAACATCTCAACAAAGCTGATTGTCCGAGCAAGTTTAATGGGCGTGTCAAAAATGAGTATACAGGGGCTTAGAGCGATGCAGAGATAGCTGCGAGACGAGCTAAGCTGGAAGGGTGCAAGCAGCAAGTGTCCTTGCTTGTCTACTTTGGACGTGGTGCACATTAGTGACATTTCCATAGTTAAACACGTTAGAACGATCATTTTTGGTAATTTTGGATTCTAAATTCCGAGGGAGGGTTATTTTATCTGAGCAGCTAGAACGATTTTATATTCCTGTCGGCCGGTATTCCAAAAGTAGGGATTACTACCTAAGGGTTCACTTGAAGTAGCCCTCACTCGATGAGTACTGTATAGGGATATTAGGACGAGCGTCTACGGCTAGGGTGCTTCGGGTAAAGGCGATTCTCCGTGGTCAAAGTATATGTTCTCATTAGGGTGGCGAACAAAGACCATGTCTCCTCTCTCCCTGCACTCATAAATGCGGCCCAGGCGAAGCGCGATATCCATGTTCAAATTCATTTTCAAGCTGATGGTCGATACTGCGATGTTGGGTTGCGTTGCTGGTAGAGAGTCTTCCGCCCCCTGTCACCTCCCGAAAAAACGCGACCCATTTCAGCCGCTCACGGATGCGACTCGGAAGGAACTTGCCGACTTCATAGCCCTCGCTGTCCGAACGAGATCATGAAACCGTTGCAAGTACTGGCGCGACTGCCATTTCTTTAAAAAATATTGCTTCTTGAAAAACCAAAGGCTAGATGTGGCCAGCTGATTCCTCAACGCTCAAGTCGAGAGCATTAACCACACGGACACCTGCAGCAGCAGCTGTGCAGTGAGGCGACGTGTAGCATCGGAAAATGCCCGTCGCGGAAGCAAACCTTATAGCGCCTGAGGCTCAGTGCTAGGGTTCCATCGCTCAGCCTGAGCGATGCAACCCTAGCACGTCAAATTTAATAGCAACACAATATCATATTGAATATGGGCAGTACTAGTACTGCTCGCATTATAATGCAAGTGCAGCGGTGCCAACGTAGCACTGACAGGCTCACCTTCACAGAAAAGTCAAATGTCAGAACTTGACGTAGGAACCACGTTTGATCCGAATACCACCACCGTCAAAACTTGTTGGCAATCCCGGTGTATGACCTCACAGTTTTGTGCCTCACCGGTTCATCCATGACGCCATTGATGATGGCGGGCATCAAAGCCCACCCCTGAGAACATCGACATGGTCGAACTCCGGCGTGACGACAAAACAGCCAGAGACGCGGCTTTTGGGCCAATCCGAAAGGGCACCTAACTTGATAAATCTCATATTCTACCAATGAGCGTATGCTGAATCTTCGAAAGAAACTAAGTAATTACAGCTCCTCACCAATTGAATCCGAAACCACGCATTTTACAACGACACCATCGCGCGCCCGGATCCCTTCGCGCCGTCGCTGCAGTGAGTAATAAGCGGCCGAGCATTTCCGCCCTGCGCCAGACTACGAAGAGACGAGCCCGAGCGCAGCACTGGCCCTGTCGACACGACACTTCCGCATTGAACCGCCCGAACACAGCCAAGTTAATAGAATGGGGGCCGCCATCATGAAGACCTGCTTCGTCGGGGAACCCATCGAGGCCCCGCGCCGCCACCACCACCAGCAGCGCATGTCGCACCACGACGCACGCCGCCGCTACGAGCAGCAGTGCACGCGCTCGCTGGCCAAGACCATGCCTTCCTCGGCCACGCTGGTCACGCCGCACACGCGCCGCTTGGACCGCCGCTATGCTGTTGGGCTCGAGTCGCCCGACAAGGAGCTGCTTATGAAGAAATACGCACCCCGTCGTGGGATGGAGCTGCCGCAAACGGCCGTGCATTTGCAGAAACTCGGCCAGGACGTGGCCAAACTCAGGAAGAGTCTGGCCAGCTCCGTGTCGTCCGAGGCTGCCACTATGTCGGAGAGTTCGTTCGTTGCCGACTCGCCCTCGCACGCTGTAAGCCCAGTGCGCCGCTCCAGCCCAACCGGCCGTACGTCGGCCGCAGGATTCCGTACACTCCTACCGGACGAATACGTTCTCGAGTGCGTGGCCGGTAAAGGAACCACCTCGACATGCTACAAGTGCAAACGTAAGACCGACGGCCGCCGCTTCGCCTGCAAGATCATCGAAAAGAGGAAGCTGGCCCCATCTGCCCGGAAGAGAATGGAGGTGGCCGCTCAATTACGCCGCGAGGTGGACGTACTGCAACGCGTGGACCACCCACACATTGCCAAACTGGAGCAATCTTTCGAAGACGACAACTACCTGATCCTCATCATGGAGCTCATGGAGGGCGGTGAGCTGTTCGACGCCATCGTAGACAAGGGCCGTTTCTCGGAGCACGAGGCCGTCCATGTGGCCCGCTGTATCCTCTCCGCTATTCAACACATGCACGAGCGCGGCGTCGTTCACCGCGATCTCAAGCCGGAGAACATGCTTCTAGCCGTGTCCACGCGTCGAGGACGTCGTCAAGATGTGGCCAACCCGCTGAACATCAAGATCATTGACTTTGGTTTCGCTAAAATCCTTAAAGAGGGCGCGACGTCCACGTCCTTCCTGGGCACAGGAGGCTACTTGGCCCCTGAAATTTTACTGCGACAGCCATACGGCACCTCGGTGGACATGTGGTCCTTTGGGGTCTTGATCTACTTGCTGCTTTGTGGCCGACTACCATTTGCAGCCACCACGCAACTACGACCCAACCAGAAGATTCAATCGCTGTACAAACTCACCTTCCCGAAGAGGTACTGGCGCGGGGTAAGCCCCGTGGCCATCGATTTCTTGCAGCGCGTGCTGGTACTCAACCCGTCCGCGAGACTTACAGCCACTGAGGCACTCAACCACCCATGGCTTCGGTGTTAAATATGGCCAATCAACAGTGTTAGGTATTTATTCAAAAGCAGTTTTTATTGATTTCCCCCCAAGTTTCGAGTTAGTGTCCGTTTACCGTTTAAGGTGGCTGATGTACCGTAATGACAGCAACGCTAGCAATCGGAATACCACGATGAGAACACCGAGGATCAAGACGTTCCTGGTTATGTGATCCGACTTCATGTTGAAGGCCAACTCGACGTACTGTTTGAGGGTAATATTGCCAATAGTAGGTGGCGCGTTCTTCAAAACTTGACAGCCAAGATTGCTGCTGGTGCCATCAGGACAGTCGGCAAAGACCATGGCAACAAGTGTTGCAATACTGTACGTAGGTGGCGAGATGTAGTAAATCCACTTGTACCCTAGCGAGATATTATTCGCCGGTGGATTGAAACCCGAAAACAGCATGAAGATCGAGCTCAGTAAAGCACCAGCAATCGATGCTACCGCAACACTAGGCAAGGCAAACACCAATAGTTGGCCGAAATACACGAACAACAGCGCGTTGAGAGATACCACAAGCCAGTATTGGATAAACGTTTCGAAGCCAGTGAACCCAACACTTGGAAAGAAAATGATAGTAAAGGCGAGAGCAGACAGTAACACGTACGGGATCTCAACCAATGTACCCGCGATGAAATACCATAACGCATGGTACGTCTCGGATGCTCGTTCGCGGTAAAATGCCGTACGTTCATCTGCAGCTACAGGCATGACGCTGTTGAAGCCGATGATTCCTAAGAAGACCGTACTGATGAATACCAGTCCAACGCCTGCATTCGCACCCGTAAATGTAGTATAGTCGGTGGCTTGATAGATGATACCGAGAATTGCACCAAGCATCACACTGATCATCAACCGAGTCAAGTTATATGTCGGAGTTCGCCAATACATGTGAAAGAATCGACGACATAGAAAGTCAAACTGCATCATGCCTGTCGACGCGAATTGGTTAAAAAATTTAAGCTCCGGGAGGTTTGTGGACGGTCGAAGAACTCCTTCTTCATCGAGATCCTTATCCATAAGCGTCTTCAATTCACTCTTTGAAAAATAGTCAGCGAAGTCCATCTCAGTACCAGAACTGGCACCGACGCCAGCACCAATACACTCAAGCATCCACGTCGCGGGGTTATAGCCTGGCTCGATCGGTGTCACTCCTGGTGCTGCTTTAAAGTAGTTGATGAGGTTACTCGAGTCGTTCCCGAGTTGTCCGAAAAACACCATCCGTCCACCACGTCGAAGCAGCAACAGTGAATCGAAAAAGCTGAACACCTCCGAGCTCGGTTGGTGAATTGTACATACAATCGTTCGGCCCGAGTTGGCGATTTTGCGTACCCCATTCATGATGAGTTTAGCCGAGCGTGCGTCCAATCCACTAGTAGGTTCATCCATAAAGATGATACTAGGCTGTGCAACAAGCTCGACTCCAATAGTTAGACGCTTCATCTGTTCGGTCGATGACCCACGGATGATCTTGTCGGCAATGGGACCGAGTTCTAACAACGCGATGCATTCGTCTACCGACTCCATTTTCTCCGTCGTGGACACATTTGCACTTTGTCGTAACATTGCGGAGAAGACAAGAGCTTCGCGAATCGTTGCAGACTCGGAATGGATATCCATTTGCTCGCAGTATCCAGTACTTCTACGAATGGCGAGATCGTTGGCTGGGAAGCCGTTCAGTAAGATTTTACCTCGAATCTTACCTCCAGTTTTACGCCCTGCAATGACGTCCATGAGTGTCGTTTTACCAGCACCAGAAGACCCCATAAGAGCTGTCATCGTTCCCGGTTTGGCGTACCCAGAGACACCTTGAAGTAGGTCGATATCCTCTCCTTTCTTGCCACCAGGCATGGGCACAGAGTACCATAAATCGTGAAATGCTAACGTGACAGGCGGAGCTCTAGTTCTCGGTGTCACAATCGGAACAGCAACATGATCTTGAGGTGCTGGAGCCACCTTGATGCTACTTATCTTCGCATCCGGTGGTCCCTGCTTAGCATCGAGGTCCGCTTGCACGACTGTTGTACTCTCCGGACTTTCGTACCGCTTGTATTCCAATACTAAATGTGCTGCAAAAACGAGAACCACATACCCGACGAAGAAGTAGAGCCACCCTAAGTAGATCCACTCTTCTTCTGTTGGTAAACCTGAAAGTTTAAGACTATATTTCCCGAAAGTTGTTCCGAAATGAGCGCAATAGTCGATGTCTCCATACACACAGACGTCGAATTTCGGAGCTAAATACTGGTTAACACTAAGGGAACGAATACTCCACGCGACCGAGTCGATCCAGTAGAACCAGATAAAGTAATCGGGGATATCTGTCTTCCTTAGTAGAAACCCTCCAAACATGACGAAGAAGAGGATAGAAACCATCATGACAGGCTGAGCGATCGTGATACTAGGAGAAGCAGCCGACAGGAAGAAGAAATACGCTGTGAACCACATTTGACACAAGAAAAGTGTCACTAAAAACGAGATGAACCTGTCCGCAAGAGCTACGTATCCTCCCATCCAGTAGACGATGGAACCGAACAATAGCGTCTCGAATATAGCGAAGGGGATCTGCGTCAAGGACGAGGCGAGTACGTACGCCAAAGATCGGAAGAAATTGGCTCCTCGTTGCTTGTAAAACACACTGCGCGCTTCCATGAACGTTGGTAGTTGGGCAGCTTGGCCCATCGAGAGGAACATGGTACACGAGAAGAGCAAGCCGAGGATCAACTGGCTGTTGGCGTCGTTCATTTGCCAGAACACAGAGCCGTAGAGCAGTCCCATGATCAGCACCATAAAGCCACGTCCGATAAGGAATGTCCTGTCGCGAAGCTTGATCTTCCATTGACGCCGCAGTACCGTAGCAAGATCATCAAGAAACGGTTGTCGGAACACACACGGGTCTTGAAGGGGATCGAACAGGTCCGATTTGCGATCAGGTCTTGTTCTCATATAGGTCAACGTATCTTGGAAGATATCGGACTGCCGGAAGCGTTCTGCGAAATCCACAGACTGGAAAGGGATGTCAGCATCTGCAGATTCTACACTAATGTAGGCGTGCTGTTTGTCTGTTCCAAGATCTAAGAGGAAATCCGCCACATCCTTGCGAGGAGGACAACGGAACCTCATCTTCTCAAAGTATTCCTGCACTTGTTCACGTGGGCCATGGTACATGATACGTCCGTCGTTCATGATCAAGATATCGTCAAAGAGATTGAACACTTCCGGTGGCGGTTGTAGGAGAGAAACAACGATGTTTGCTTTGAAGTGACGAGTTAAACTCTTGAGTGAGTTGACGATGTCGTACGTAGTCGCAGCATCCAGACCCGTGCTGATCTCGTCCAATAACATGGCTCGCTTACGGCCGAACGTCATTTCCCCCGTGGTGACACGTTTGCGTTCACCACCGGACACACCACGAATCATAGCGTTGCCCACCATGGTGTCTTTGCAGCGATCTAACCCTAGGGATTTCACTCGAAGATCTGCAGCGAACTTGTGCTGCGCTGTCATGACTTTGACGGCCCGTTCGTGTTGTTCCCCCTTACAGTTTTCGAGCGCTTTAAGCACCCACGGTTCAAGATTGGCACCTCCACAGCATCGATGAGCGAACTCAAACGTCTCCTGCACGGTGAGTTGAGGATAGTGATCATCCTTCTGGTTCGTGTACGCGATAAACCGTGGCAGCCTGGCCAGCAGCTCCGATCGTTGCACGCCATTGTACGTGATGTCACCGGACACTCCGATGGTTTTGTTCATTGGAAAGCGTCCGCTAAGGATCTTTAGCAGCGAAGACTTACCTGAACCAGGTTGACCCAGTACTAAAGTAATGCGTGTGGGCTTGAAGACGCCCGTGACGCCACGTAGGATCTCCTTCTCGGCCGTCTCTTGATTGGAGAAACACTTCATCACTCCTTGCTTGATTTGCGTCCAAATCGTGGGAACTTGAGGTCCTTCTGCTCCTGGTCTTGCCAAGGGGAGACGCGCTGAAATGTGCAAGTCGCGGAAGAAGATCTCCACCTCCGGAATCGGCCGGCCCAGTGTCCCCTCAACGGCCGCAGCCACACTCTCGTGCATAGCAAGCATTCCACCAGCTAGCAGACCGTCGACACTAGAGAGGTCCGCCATGCTGGGCAAGAGGACTCGACAGTTCAGTAATTACCAACGTGTTGTTCAGGGCCTGCGCAATGAGAAGAATGAGCATCGCATTGCAGTGCAACAACGGTATGAGATGGTGCATTGGTTTCGCTATCCGATTGATGACGGGCAAACTCTAATTGTAGTGCTTTTCGGAGCCTCATCGGTTGTGGTCCCTCATCTTGTGCGTCCATACGGCCTGGAGGTGGCCATGTTGTGGCCAACGGGGAGAGTATCTTGACCATCCACCGTCTGTAACATCCCGAAGGTTCCTACCGGTAATATGATTCATATTAGGAACAATATTATTAGATACCTTCATCGAGCATAATCAGGAGGATCGTCACGGTAATCAGCGCTCGCCGATTCCACTGTAATCACGAAATCCGAATCCAAACGCTGCGCACCACTTCGCATTCTCCTCTCGGCCATGTGGTCCAACAAACACGGCGAGTCGCAGGGTCTGTTCCCTGGTCGCAAGACACTCGGCCCGCTGCTCCTCATGACGGCCACACCCGTGGCCGCCACGCTCATCACGCACGTGTTTGTGACTCACGGCGGCTCACTCAGCTCCTTCCTCGCGTCGGGCAAGTCGCTGGCCGAGATCTGGCCGACACCCTGGGACCCGACGGCCTGGAAACTCATCGGTAGCTTCATGGCCACGCAGCTTGTGCTAATGCGCGTAGTGCCGGGCCGACCGTCGTACGGACCTGTGACTCCAGGCGGTAATGTACCCGAGTACAAGGCCAACGGCTTCCAGTGCTTTGTACTGAGTCTGGCCTTATTCCTATCGGGTGCATTCGTCTTTGACCTGTACCCAGGAGGAATCGTGTACGACTATATGCCGGAGATTATCTCGGCGCTCAACGTCTTCAGCTTCATCTTTTGTCTCTTCCTGTACGTCAAAGGAGCCTTCCTGTGGCAGTCCTCAAGTGACTGCGGGACGTCGGGCAACCCCATCTTCGACTTCTATTGGGGCACGGAGCTGTACCCGCGTGTACTGGGCTGGGACGTCAAGCTCTTCACGAACTGTCGCTGCGGCCTCATGTTCTGGGCCGTGGGCGTGCTCTCCTATGCGTGCAAACAACGAGAGCTGTACGGATACCTAAGTGACTCCATGGCCGTGAGTGTTGCGTTACAGCTCGTGTACGTGGCCAAGTTCTTCTGGTGGGAGGCCGGCTACATGTGCAGCATCGACATCATGCACGACCGCGCGGGCTACTATCTTTGCTGGGGTTGTCTAGTATGGGTGCCGTCGGTCTACACCTCACCGGCCATGTACCTCGTACAGAACCCCATCAACTTGGGGACACCGTTGGCTCTAGCCATCTTCGTCACGGGCGTTCTCATGGGTACGTACCGATATCAAGATCTCTACAGTAAATACTAAACTTATTTTTTTGTTATTGATTGCTACAGTTGGGATCAACTACGACGCCGACCGCCAGCGTCAGAGCTTCCGTGCGGCAAGTGGCAAGACGAACGTATGGGGACGCCCGGCCGAGTTTATTGTGGCCCGGTACGAGACTGAACAAGGTGAGAAGAAGAAGAGTCTGCTGCTCGCATCTGGCTGGTGGGGACTGTCGCGCCACTTCCACTACGTACCCGAAGTGTTGGCCGCCGTCTGCTGGACGATCCCAGCGCTTGCTTCAAGTCCGGCTCCGTACTTCTACTCGATCTTCCTCGCCATCTTGCTCACGGATCGAGCTTACCGTGATGACGCCCGTTGCGCGCACAAATATCGCCAGGACTGGAAGAAATACTGCGAGCGTGTGCCCTCACTCATCCTGCCAAATATCCTGTAGGAAGCTCCAGTAACCTCTCGATAGTGGAGAAGTTAGTGGTAGATAGGTATACAGCACTCACGTGCTAGAATTATTGAGGGTTCACGTCGGGAATCCCGATGAATACAAAAGAGTTGGCATTTTTTTCTGTTTATGCCAGGCCAAGATGGTGCTACTCCACTTCAAACCGGATTTTTTAAAAAAAATGAAAACAAAAAATTGATTACGAAAAAGTAGCACTAAAAAGGAAATTCAAAGTGGCGAAAACGCAGGTCCCCTCAGGCTGAGCTGCAGCTAGGTGCCGTACTGCATGTCTTCCATGCGCTCCGCGGCAGCAACGGAATGCTGGCAATGCAGTGTCAACCTGTTAGCAAGGTGCGTGTCGATACATCCGATGCGGCGTCTCGCCGCGCGCTCCAGTTTCTCCATCCGAGCAGCCGCAACCGTCCCGCGAGGATGCTCCACAACCAGCCCTTTACGGGGCAAGGCAAGGTCGGCCTTGATCTTGGCCTTAAAAGCATTAAAACACCCTGTAGCACCAGTTTAAAAGTCGGTTAGTATGCCATTTAAAAAATATTGTAATACAGTATACTGCGTACCTTGAATGGGGTTACATATTGAAGAGTACGGAGCCAGCCGTACAAGTACCAAGTCGGCTCGTTCAGCGACGTGTGCTTCCGTTTGCTTCCACAAATTGACGTGATGTGGTGGCGGGGATTCCGTTGTGGGCGGCCACAAGCGTCCAGTCACCGCCGACACGGAGGCAGTCGAGGACACGAGCTCTGGCAAATGCGAGGTGCGGGGCTCTGGGCATCTTGGGGTAGGTAGAGGCTTGGCTTGGTTGAGGGCTTGGGAAAAGATTGATAAGAGAGAGCGAGGAATGGCAATGAAGTGCTCGCGCACACGCTCAGGAGGGTTGATCCGCTTTGAACTGCGAATAAACCACTTTGAAGAACGGAGTGCGTTTACTCGACATATTTGTGAAGTGACATAAACTCTAATGTAAAAATTGAGAATAATTTTTAAAAAGGTTTCGTGACTTTACCACTTTGAAGTGGAGTAGCACCATCTTGACCTGTAGTATTGTGCTTTTTTTGCTCGATTTATCAGTAGATCGATTTGTACTTTTTATAGACCTCGATTTAATAAAACGAAAGCATTGAATTGCACAATAAATGCACTTGGATAATTGGCTTGGATTCTTTTTTACTGATCACGAACCACAGTATCGAGGTCAGGACTTTCAAATGCGCAACAAAAAGAGGAATGTGATCCAGAACTTCCTGTTTCGCGCAGGACCCAATCGGAAACTGAGTCTTTTGTGACAGCCGCAATATAGCACACTTCAAAGTCCTTCTCCACGAATGGCTGCGCAAGCTCCCAAAGAATATCTACGTTGCATTTGTGTGTGGTGGCATTTGTCAGCTGCAGGAAACAAAATTGTACCCGGTTGTTGGGAAGCCTACCGCGTCAATCGTTTCACACAAACAGGTGTAAGGGATCCAATGTAACCCATTTCGGATGGCTGTGCGGTCCAGCTCTTCAGCTCCTCTTTATTTTCGAAATATTCTTCCGGTCGACCCGTCGAATGTCCTGAAGCATGTCATTCCTACCAACCTGTCTCCGATCCACGTTGTCGTACTCGCAGTAGTGTACGCGAATCAATCGTCGATGACGCACTAACGTGTGGCAATATCCCTCAAAGGCTACATCTTCAAAGCGATCGTCGTTCATACCCTTTGCAATCGCCAGCAGCTTTTCAAAAAAGTTAGGTTTCACCATAGCCGCTAGGTATAATAGTGCAACACGAATTCTCTGGATATTCATATCCAGAGTTTTAGGGGCGATCGAAAACCGTCGACGATCCTCTATAAAATATTAGGGTGCTACATTTGTAATTATTAAAAGTATAGTGGCTTGCAAGTGATAAGCTAAAAGGACGGAAATCCTAATAAACTACGGTAAAGCATAAAAAGCACTGGTGAATGTCGTTCCAAGCCGCCTGGGTCAACATTCACGCTATCTGGTTTTAGGTGGATGTTGCTCCAATAAACGATACCACCGATGGTGGGTGGTACAGTACGTACATCAAGGCCACATGATTTAAAGAAAGGAAAATATGAATACTAATAGGATTCATATCGAGGCCGTCTCGCATCAAGACAGCAAGGTCGGACGACAACGCACGTTCGACCGCGGCTTCTTCATTTTGGCTAAACTGTATCCTCATACACATCAACCTTACGACGTAACGCGTAGGTAAGCCCCTCCCTCTCACACACACACTCACACACAGGGATGCCGAATACGGCATTTTACTTAATCAACGAGGAAACAAGAAAATAAGTTATGGTACTGCAGTACGAATGGAGGTAACATCAATTATTGGCATTAAAAAAATGAAAATAAATTATGGACCTGTTAAAACTGCATGCTAAAACGACAGAGCTCGAGAGTAGAATCAGATCGCACTGTCAGCAGTGCGGACGTCCCAGTACGTCGTGTTTACACGTAGAAAAAGAATCATCTCTAATGTGTACGGGTTCAAACGATGTCGCTCGTAGCCGAACGTGATCCGAGCAAGGCTGAAAAACCTCTCCACCATATTCGAGGTTGGAGGTACAGAGGCTAGCAGGTGAACGCCTGACCTTGCTGAGCGCGCTTTCGCTTGCGCTCGAGCTGCATGACAAACGACTCATTTCGGAGTTGTTTGTCATGCGCGAGGTATCAGCGCTGCTACCTCGTCGAACGGCTGTAGGATGTCCTTTATTGCGCGATTTAGCTCTGCAGTTCCCCCATTGAGCACCTTGACGCATCCAGCCTCAAAGTCCGGCGAGTGAACAATATCAGCTCGAGCGTCTAAAATTTATATATGTATATATATAAAAAAGTTAGTGTTTGTTAATTGTGAGATAACACAATGACAAAATTAAACGTACCCAGGTAGTGACTGAAGCTTGGTTCTACTTCGACTAGACCGTCGAACCAGTCACGGACATCCAACATCGTGATACCGTCCTTTTGGAGAGCCTTGCTCACGGTTTCAACGCGTGCAAGCTCCACCATTAGTGTCTTCAAGCGCTTCAATGTCCTTGGAGTCGGCAGGAGATCCGCGATCTCGTCGTCATCCTCAGGAAGGAGCTCAGCCAGTCGAAAGTAGCGCTCCACCATTCGGTATGCCGAGCCCCATCGTGTGTCTTGGCGAAGAATTGGTCGGAGAGGCGTTTTAAAACTTATGTGCATAATATGAAAAATAATTAAAGGGCACAAATATATAAAAAATAAAAAATTACCGTAGCGCTGCGGAGAGGCTCAGCGTCTTCATTTTACGCATGAGAGCTTGTATCTGCGCCAAATCGTCCTCGTAGTTGCTCAAGTGCGCCTGCACCGCTAAATTCAGGCGGTGGCTGGCACATCCGATCAGGGGAACCCCCATGCTGGCTGCCAATCGCTTGTTCACCTGGCAATTATCTCCAGCAATAAAGAGACAGCTGCTCACTTGCTTACCGTAGTCTCGCTCTAGTATTGTAGCTAGGAATACTTCGTGCGTGCGAGCACCATGGTCATCGTCCGGTTCGTTGATCAGAGGGGCCATGGACAGTAGTGGGTATTTTGCGACTCCGTCCACTTCGTAGCAGGCAAAAACTGCTAGGAAGTACTCATAGTCGTGCGACCATCCGTCGATGACGAGACCAAACTGGTTAGGCATCTCGTCCTTAGTCTTGGCCTCTACTGCCAGCGTTACCCCTTCCATGGCCCCGTGCAATGTCTCCACAGAAACAGGAGATAGGCTAGTGTAGCTACACACAATTAATTAGTCTTGAAAACGATATAGCAGAAGAGACACAGTATCTTACCATCTCGCCCCAGCGTTCTCACAGAAACGGAGCGGTAGGCTGCTGGATATTATCCAGTCTAGCCACCCGTGTAGGTCCCTTGCACGTTGACGAATCCATGGTTTTAGGGTGCCGCGACCGGTGTCCGCCTCGCGCATCACGTCCACGTAGTCAGGGTGTTGGCTACGTACGTGCTGGATGAGGTTGGTGTACCCACTTCGGGGTGCTTGTCGACGAACGGTACCACACCGGCACCGATAGAGACCCTCAATAGTTTCATCGAATGCATCCGTGACGGCTGAAAAGTAGAAACCAGAGATTCGAGTGTTGGAAAAGGCTTGGGTGGCCATGATGCAGATAGCAAAGTGAGTGTACGTTAGACGGAAAAAGGTGGACTCTTGATAGCCATCTCTCTGCGATTTCCTAAGTTAACAGTAAATTAAGATATTAATCCACAAGATTAGGTAAATAATTTATGGTCAGCCTCAAGGTCCGAAAATAAATAATTTCAGGGTCGTTATTGTATTGTACGGGCAATCAATGTATTTTTCGGCATCCCTGCTCACACACACGCACGCACACACACACACATCAGAGGAAGAAAACGAATTACCACGTCGGGTATTTCAAAGGAAGGACTAACAGTAGAGAAAATGATTCTTGCTCCGCTTCGTCATCCGACTCGCAGGATTCCTCAGCGTTCATCTTTCTATGTCGCCGTCGCTCGAGTGAAAACGTTATCGCAGTTGTATCTCATGGCCCCCCTTACGAAAGAGTTTTTGGAGAATTTTACTCCAAGTCGTGATGCGCTGGCAAAAACCCAAAGACTTCATGCAATTGAGGACCGAACAGATTAAGAAACCATAATGCTGTGGAAAAATTGCTACAGGTCTTCTTTAAAATACAGTACTTTCTTTAGTTAGGGTACCAACTTGTTTTCAAGTGTTCGAAGTTCGGGGATAGCCACTCAAATGAATGACTGTCATTCTCGCTCGGTTTGTTAATGTCTTCTTCTAGACTGGAAGTCTTAGTTAAATCGCAATTCTTCTCCTTTTTTTTCTTCTAAAAAGTCCTTCATTCCGCACTAGCTATTACTTTTGAAAATACCGTAATATCCAGAGCTTCACCGGGCTTAGCACGGCATTAGTTTTGACGTCCAAGTAGTGCGCCACATTGTTGTGGTCTCGCACTCCCCGCATACGGATAGAGTCAGCTTGTTCGTGGAAACCAAATCCACACATCGTGAGCCATTTTCGGCATCTTCAGGATTCACAGTTTGGTTTAAGACTATTTTCATAGTGGCCGTAGCCCCATTAATTTCGAAAAATCTCCCAAGCTTCCTCCGGATACAAAGAAGCTAACGTCGATGTCCTTCTAGAGCGTGGATGTGACCGAAATCTGTCAGATCGCTCTGTTTCCAGTACGGTACCAGGCACATACTAAGTATTCACAAACGCCGAAGCTTCACTTTTCGGCGAATATTGTTGAGAGGTTAATCAAATATCTTGAATATTCTTTTACCTTTAGCCCATCTTGATCCATCCCGTCAAGACAGAACCAGCAGCTGGTCAGTCTGATACCTCTCGTTTGGAGCGCATAAAAGAGGGACGCATAGATCGCACCCCCGTTGTCAAGTCTACCAGTGCAAGTACATATTAATACGCGTGGCTTGACAACGGAGGTGCCGGTAGTATGGTAGTCTACCAGTGCAAGTACTATTAATACGCGTGGCTTGACAGCGGGGTACGATCTATGCGTGGTAGAACAATCGCATATACGTCGGAGAAGTCCCACCCGGAACCAGACGACAGGTCGATTGTAGCGGACTGCAAGATGCAACTCTTGCACTTCCCATGAAAATGAACTGTTTGTTGACCACTCATCAAACTCCTTACAATATATATTCTTTTGCATGAGTCAGCCACATGCCGTTCTTCCTCGCCAGGACCATTGGCCATTGGTCACAGGAAACGCGCCTCCAGCCTCACCAACGGCAGCGCAATACAACGTGACCATCTTTCGAGATCTTGGATTGAGAGAAACGGGTGGACGAAATGCTAACTCTAGGGAGAAAAATAACCCCAACGACGAGAGCCTGCGCACTTACTTCAAATATGATGCGTACGCTACCGATGACGCTGTTTGATGTTATTTATGCTTTAAAAAAGCGGAAGCCTTTCTTCAAAAATATTTGAATAACTATAAACTTTCAATAACAATAGCCAGAACAATTTGAAAATGACTGCAACACCAATATCTACCATTTCAGGAAATTGGGAGGCAATTCTATAAGACCTCAGCAAAACGAAAACCAAAAACGAAACCACACATTGTGAAGATATGAAAGAGCAAAACAATGGCAGTATAAGAAATGAACAAAGCTAAACGCTTACATTAAATATATAAAGATCAATACGGCGAACAGGTGTATCCTTAAGTATCCTGAAGTAGCCAATAATACAGCGATCCTAAAAATTACAGTTTTTCCTGATGTAGCTTCTACAAATTCGTATAACTAAAACGATAATAACAACAACCACTACGGTAAAAAGGTGTAATCCTCTAAGGTTTTCCTGAGTACGGTAGCCAAAATAACAATGAAAACAAGAATCCCTGCCAGAAAAAAAGCGGCAACAAAATGACAAATCTGACAAAGGAAGTAAAAAAAAATATCATCAATATCAAAACAAGATCTATTTCCTGTAAATGTTCGTGTGTACGCACAGGACTATAAACAGCCATCTGTGGTGCATTAAATATTTCCGACACCATACACATTCCGCGAGGGAGGCTGTTGGATGTGATAATCACTATATAGTGGAATATAATGGTGCTATTTCAAATAGAGAAATCTTAAATAACTGAACTGGTAGGTGAAGAATAACTCCTCTCTACACCTTTGCCAGGTCAAGATGGTGCTACTCCACTTCAAAGTGGTGAAGTAACCAAAACGTTATAAAATTTATTTTCAACTTTTACATTAGAATTTATGTCACTTCACAAATTTGTTGAGTAAACGCACTCCGTACTTCAAAGTGGTTTATTCGCAGCTCAAAGCGGATCAACCCACGTGCCCGCGAGCACTTCATTGCCACTCCTCGCTCTCACTTTTCAATCTTCTCCCAAGTCCCAAGCCTCTTCCTACTCCAAGATGCCCGGAGCCCCGCACCCTTCATTTGCCAGAGCACGTGTCCTCGACAGCCACCGCGCGGGCGGAGACTGGATGCTTGTGGCCGCCCACAACGGCATCCCCGCCACCACAGCACGTCGAATTGTGGAAGTAGGACGGGCGGAGCTGCTCCCGCGCGGAGGAGCCCGTCCGTCCAACTTCAAATGCACTCCGGAGATCGAGGCGGCACTCGAGGAGTACCTCGAAGAAAATTGCACCTACACTCTCAGTGCAATGAGAGACATGGTGCAATTCGAATTCGGCGTGGACCTAAGCACCTCGACAATCAGCAACAAGCTGATTGGCAAGTTGTACACCACCAAACAGGTATGTTACAATGGTAAAATATATATTATGTTTATTTTAAATAATATTTTTATTTTAATGAAACAGGTCCGCGTGGAGCCGATGACTTGCAACAGCGAAGTCAACAAAGCAAAGCGAATGGAGTTTGCCAAAGAGCTGCGCGAGCACATGAGTGCAGGAAACCTCATCGTATATTACGATGAGACAAATTATAACTTGTATTGTAAACGTAGCCAAGGGCGTGCCAGAAGGGGCGAGCGGGCGACGATCGTCTTACCGCCATCCAGGGGCGCCAACCTGCAAGTACAGTGCGCCGTTTCAACGGATTTAGGGCTGGTGCATTATAAGTTACAAAGGGGCAGCATCCGCATGGATGTTAACGCTGCTTTTGTTGAGGAAATCTACAATAAAGTCAAGTCCTCGCCAATCTTTCAAGAGCACTTCCAGGGCAAGAAAATCGTTGTCGTTCTCGACAACGCCCCTGCCCATAACCAAACGGAAGAACGCGTCGCTGAACGAGCCGACTTCGTACTTCTACGGCTGGCTCCATACTCTCCAATGTGTAACCCCATTGAAGGTACGCAGTATACTGTACTACAATATATTTTTAAAAGGCCAGCTAATCGACTTTTGAGCTGGTACTACAGGGTGTTTCAGCGTTCTTAAGGCCAAGATCAAGGCCGACCTTGCCTTGTCCCGTGAAGAGCTGGTTGCGGAGCGTCCTCGTGGGACTGTTGCGGCTGCTCGGATGGAGATACTGGAGCGCGCGGCGAGGCGCGGCATCGGCTGTATCGACTTGCGCCTTGTTAGCAGGATGGCACTGCATTGCCAGCATGCCGTTGCTGCCGCGGAGCGCATGGAAGTCATGCAGTACGGCACCTAGCTGCAGTTCAACCTGAGAGAACCACTTTGCTCTGCGTTTTCACCACTTTGAATTTCCTTTTTAGTGTTACTTTTTTCTAATCAAATTTTGTTTTCATATTTTTAAAAATATCCGTTTTGAAGTGGAGTAGCACCATCTTGACCTGGCAAAGGTGTAGAAAACCAGACTCTCTACTTCATCACATTTCCTTTTATTATCTTCACCACACAAGCGTCTTCTTCTTATACACTCAAGACTTTCTCTCCACTATCGCCGCCTAGACCAATCTACTTTTGTCCTCACCCCATCTGCGCAAACCATCCCTTCAACACTACTGAAGCGGTGTAAAGCCCGTCCCGTTTGGACTATCGAAGTGAGCTGAAACCACACTTGGAGGTTGACAAGAAACGTACTTAAGTGATAATTATCATAAAATATCATCTAGTATATAATAAATTTCAATCTTCTTAGTTATTTTTAAAATATAATGCTTGCTTTTGAAAAAATGAATTAAAACTAATATTTAATTTCAAAAATAGTACTATTACTATCAAAAAAATTATATGATATTTGGTTACCATTAGCTTAAAATACATGCACGTTATTGAGCTGTAGATAAAAGAGCGATCCATGTATGTTTTATTAGTTTTCGCTGACAAAATTCAGAGCTGTTCAGGACATACAGTAGGAGTATTCAACGGCTGAGGTCATATTTCAGTTTTGAATAGGCTATTATCTTGCGAGACTCACACCACAGCGAGCTGAATGCCACGCACCCACACATTGCCATTATACTCAGCAGCGTCAAGGGCGGCCATAATTCTGTCCTTGGCGAATAGCCCTTTCACTCGCTCCAGCGTACCCCGTCGTGCCGCATACCACAAGGTGTACTCTTTTAGCGGGATGTAAAGAGGATCACCCTCCGTCACCAGCCCCGGACCGATATAAATCCTTTTGAATTGCGTCGGTGGCGTATGCTCGTACAGCTGATGATATATCTGGATTTGCATTCTTTCGGTAAGCTTCTCCAGATCGGGAATCTTCTTGATCGATTGGAGACGTTCAAGCAGACCCGCTCTAGACCAATGCTCTAACAAAAGCTGATACGTCTGGGAAACGGGAAACGAATCAACCCCCATCGCCGTCCGGTACATCTCCGTGTACCTGAGCCACTAGATAAGATACGGGTCTTGAAAACCAGTTGGGGGAAGTAACAAGCTGAACAGTTCTTTGGGGCTTTCACGGGAATTCAGCCACGCTTGGTTCATCATGTTGTGAATGGATGGATATATTTGAAACAAGTGTGTCTGCAGCTGATCAACAAGATTCTTCATGCCTTTGACTCGGCGGACAGCGTGAAGCAGCTCCAATATCTCTTCATCCGGTTTTGCATTTCGTAGCAAGGAAGCAAATTTGGCGTCCGAGAACGACGTTTCTCCCATTTTTCTTCTGAGCTTCAGTACGTACCGGAGCCAGTCCATGAACTCTGGGCTGTGATTAAGCTTCCCGACAGTCTCGGAAAAACGGATTCCCGTGAAGAAAATTTCCGGATTCATCTTCAATGATAGCGCCAACTTGTACGCCAGTTTCTCCGTAAACGCCGACATTCTTTTGGCTTGAGCCCTCTCCTCTTCGCTCTGAGCGCCAGTGCTCGCTTTACTCGTCTGTGCTGAAGTGGACCTCAAATATCTGCGCGATATAGCCTCAGCTGCATCTTCGTGAGTTGTAATCCTTTTGTTGGGGAGAACGAAGTCGGTTTGCCCGAAGCCAGTATTGCTTTGCAATGCGAAGATAAGTAGCACAAGCACTGCCATAACACATTGCGGACCCATGCTGAGTTTGGCTGCTCTCCAGATGGGGTCTTCGGTGAAACTGCAAAGTGAGATTGTACCCGAAATTTGTCATGTATTAGTAAGCGATGACTAATCAAGTTGAACATCCATCCATTCCATCGTGTACCGGTATTTCGATATGTACAGTAGTATACCGGTAGGACCATTCTTGTTGATGATTGGGCTGGTAGAGGGAAATGTTTAATTCGGTAGTACAGCATTTGATGGAAAGCGAGTGCAAATATAAAAAGGGACTGGATTAAGTCACACAACCAAACCGCGAAATAAAAAATTGTTTGCACGTGAAATATAAAACTCTCTAAATTCGCACTTTGCGGAAATCGCTAATAACACCCCTTCATCCCGCTCTCCTCCGTCCTAAAAACCACCCCGTCGCCCCCTTTTCAAAAGATTGTAAGCCTTTCATTATAAAAACGCGGACGGTCGCCATGTCGAGCTAAGCCAGCGAGGATAGCGCGGCGAGTGTTGCGAGCGAGATAAGCGACGTTCCGCGGCTTGGAAACGGTGTACTGGAGGCAGAATCACCCGAGGCCCACGTTCCTGTCGCTCGAGCGTCTCATACGTCGGCGCCTCCTTTGCAAGACCGCTATTTTGACACCTGTGACGACTTTTTCGATTGCCTGGCCACTTATCAAGACGGGACCCACCAAGTCTTCAAGAAGCGGACTTCCACAACTACTGCTGCGAGAAATAATGATGTCGTCAAGCGCGGAAACGCCTCCAAGACGACTACGATCCCGCCCTGTTTTGATAAGTACTACCGGCGATTCGTTTGCACGCACGGTTGGAGCCGTCCAAGCCGTTCGAAAGGCAAGCGCAAGAGCTATTTCGCTAAATCTACGCGCTGCGAGGCTCAGCTATCGGTCACTGTGATTTGGGTCAGCAGAAAAGGCTTTCAAGTGAAAGCAACTCAGCAAGTTACTACCCACAACCATGCTCTGAGGCTGGTTTCGTATTCCAACCACCCTGACAGCCGACGCGTCGAAATCCCCGATGTTATCGACTTCGTCGACGAGCTACAAGCTGCGGGGGCCAAGAAGAAGATGACCATGCAGTTTATACGACGACGAACCGGTATTCTTCTACAGTATACATTTATTTATGTAATCGGGCTGCTAAGCATTGAATGTCTGTAGGCAAGAACGTAACGCTGCGCGACGTTCACAACCTCGTGGCGAAACTGAAGGAAGGACGGCGGGGGACGACAACGGTTGAAGCGAGGCTGGAGGGTGTGCTGCGTAACTTTTGTCAAGGGAAGGGGAACACTGCTACTGTGTACGTGGATGATGATAAGCTGGCTCAGACTATCACGTTCCAAACACACCAGATGCGGCGTTTTTTTTAAGCATTCCGTGAAGTGCTGATGGTGGATGCTACTCACAACACCAACGACGCCCGCTACAAGCTATTCAGCTTTATGATCCACGACGTGTTTGGCCATGTACGTCGATGTGTCTGTATTGTACCCGTTTGGGACTTGACTAACGTTGTGTGACTTTATTGGACTCTGTGTGACTTTTGTGACATTGTGTGCCGCGTGTGGATTTTGGATGCGTTTTGTGACTTTTGTGTATCATTGGCTCGATTGGGTGACTTCTTATCGAAGAGCCAGTATATTCAAGACGCGCTGATGGAGAATGAAAGTGCTGAGTGCTTGGGCGACGCCGTGAAGTCCTTTAAGACTTTCAACTCTACATGGGACCAAGTTCGCGTCATTATCGTGGACAAAGATTTTGGAGAAATAGCACTTCTTCGAGAAGCTTTTCCGGGTGCTAGGGTGTTACTTTGTGGATTTCACGTGGTAAAATACCTTCGTGGTGAGGTTGGAAAACGCGACTACGGGGTTCTTGACAGAGAGAAGGTGGAGGTTGCTGTTGACATGATGTTGAGCGCGCAAACAGAGGTGGAATACGATACTGCGCGAAAATAGCTCTAATACATCGTCGAAGGGAGGCATATCACACTGGAAGACGAAGTTCCTGATCCACAGCATCCGTTTTTGAAGTATTTTCACTCGAAATGGCACATGTGTCGTGAAATGTGGAGCGGATACGGTCGGATCGACGTTCCTTACTTGGGAAATGCTACTAACAACCGGTTGGAAGCGGCTTGGGGGCATTTAAAGGAAGTTCTCAAGCCAACGATGATGCTGGATGAATGCGTCGATACTCTGCTGTTCCTCCAGTCTATCGCCGAGCTGGCGTATGAGAAGAAGATCACGGATGTGGGTCAAATGCGTTATCAAGGTGCAGACGCTGAGCTCCAGAAGCTGGCAAAGGAGGTCAGTCAGCACGCTTACGAGCTGGTTGAAAAGCAGTATCATGTTGCCAATGACCGGAAGACGAATTATGTAATTCGGGAACTACAGCCCACATGTTCGAGCTCACGTTTTTGGTGGAAAGCTTTACGACTTATCATGTTGACACAAGGGTACGTATCTTTAAACATGAATGAGTAATGTTTTTGGCGTAATGCGTTATTATCCATGTTGTTTCTAGACGTATCGATGTTCGTGGACATTTATGCGAACGGAGTTGTTGCCTTGTCGCCACGTGATTTATTGGCGCTTGATCTCGAACAAGAGCCCCATCCCGATCAAGTGCACCCACCCGCGGTGGAGCCTGACGTGTCCGTTGAACATTTCGGTTCCCGACGACGAGCCGCTCGAAGATAGCCGTGTGTGTCACTCCTTCCGACTCCGAGATTCCGCATTGAGCGCCTCGCGACATAAGGTACTCAATGCTACATCGAAGTTTCTGACTGCGCGCGATATTAGTATCCGTATTGCGGATATTATGAGTCGAAATGGGACTCCGACGTTCAAGAAAATGTTGGCAGCACTGACGAGGTTCGAGGATGTGATGACTGATAGCGTGGCTCCGACCACTCTGGCTAGAGGATTGGAGTTGGAGTTAGAGGCCAAACATTACAGGACATCGATACGGCTCAGAACCATTTGCAAAAAAAAACAAGGTCACGCTGCTCCCGATATGTATCCATGGCAACCACTGGTGCGGTGTTTAACTTTGTGGACGAGCCAAACAGCATCACCCTTTACGACCCCCACCAGCGAAGCGAACAAATCGAGGAATGCGAGAACATCGTCCCGAAATTTTTCCAGATAAAGTCGGCGCCTTTTGAGATAAAACGAAAAACTCGCCTGAAGCAGACGGACGGTCTAAACTGTGGTCCACTGGTGCTTCTGTTCTTTAAGTGCGCTATTCGAGGAATCCCATTGCCCACGAGCTTGTCGAAGCCTCTGCTGCGGTACCTCAGATTGCGATTTTTGATGAAGTCGTTACATGTGTAGACCGCATCTTGGTAGTAACATGAACCAATATATGCTTCTTTATGATGAAACACACACCTATAGCACTTTAACTGCTTTTAGGAGGCATGTTGCGCTACTGTCCGACCTCAGGTGGGCTAGGACAAGATAACGAATTGGGAGGCAGAGACAAGACTTGGAGAAACGTTTTCAACGGATCCCGCCAAGCCTGTGGCTGCTCCTACGTGATGAAACAGTTCCGGTAGTAGCTACGAGCGATACAGCGTCCACGCTCAACATGGTTATTTGCAAAACTCACAATTTATTTTTACATTCATACAACATAATCTCCTCGAGCCGTTACACTCACACGACAGGCGCATTGCGAAACCGCTCAGAAGCTCCCCACCATCCATACACTTGAGTCTAAATGTAGTGAAATTTTTGAATTGACACATAGGATTATGCTCGATCGAAAGTAGGGTATTCGGAAAATCTAGATTAATATGTTTAACATTCCCGTCGGACATCGTACCCATCTGATTGGTTTGCGTCAGACATTCTGTCTGGCATTTTCTGAAAAAGCTGTTTTCCACCTCTGTTTGAATGTATGGCAAAAACCGCAACGACCGATTTGCACAGAATTCGTCAGACAAGTGTCAAACCATAATTGCATGTAGCTTGAAGTAAATTAGAGCAAAAAACATACTTTGACACACACTACGCATTTGATAGTGTTGAGTGCGGACAGCAACTATCTATGCTTTCTCGACCAAATATTACTAAGTTACTATAGTGTCGGCAGCATTTGCTCGCAGCAGAGCCTGTATGACCGTCTGTGGCTACTTCCAAGCTTTGACTTGCCTAACATTACCCCTTCTACCACAATAGCTAAGCAGCATGCATATACGAGTTCACAAGCCACCGTGATAGCCAATTTGGCTATTACAAAAGCTTGAGGACGCCTTCCGCCAGTCGTCCTCCATTGCCTCAAGAGCTCAGCGGCAAGCAGTGCTAGTACGCCGCGCTGTCAGCGGCGCACTTTGCCTTTAAGAAGAGCAACAATCAGCTTTATATGCTTGGTTATACCTATCAAATAGCGCACTGGTCTCTCAGACGTCTCGTACGTGCATATTGAGCTGTCTACCATAGCTTTTTAATGTGTGAGTACTGTTGTGTAGACCTATAAGAATTATTTGTGACATATTAAATGAAAATACATAGCACTAACGAACTGTCGAACAACAATACAAAATAATAGACCGGCAGAATTCTTGCGTTGAGCACATAATTGCCGTTTATGCCAGCAAGCATGTGCCCAACTCAGCGCGGACTGTAAGACGTTCTCTAGGTAAACCTTTCAAACTTCATGAAATTAGCGATGTCTGACGAATGTCCCCCATGACAATGGTACGCGTGCAACGCTACCTTGCCGTACTTATCAGCCGAACCGATGTGAGCCTGAAAATGAGCTTTTGGACACACTGTATCAAATTATATGAGTGTCTGAGCAGACTAACTGGTTCCCGTGGCATTGCGCTCAATCGCCAAAGCCCACATAAAGATTATCAGCGGACCAACAAGACCAGCGCTAAAGCCGCACGCTCTTCTGGAGACAAGACAAAGGAATCTTGCAGTCTTGCGAAGGCGCGAGAGAAGGCTATCGAAGCAAGATGGGCTAGAATGAAGGCACGGTCATCCTGTTTGAAGC